ATTTGATTATTTTGTTGTGTTTGCCTTTAAAAAAAAAGTAACTGGGCATGGTGGTGCACGCCTTTAATCCCAGCACTTGGGAGGCAGAGGCAGGCGGATCTCTGTGAGTTCAAGGCCACCCTGGTCTACATAGTGAGTTCCAGGACAGCTGGGGCTACAGGGAGACCCTGTCTCAAAAAAAAAAAAAAAAAAAAAAAAAAAAAAAAAGCAGGCACTGGTTGTTCTTGAGGAGGATCTGGGTTTGATTCCCAGCATCTTCATGATGGTTAACAACCCTCTGTAACTCCAGTTCCAGGAAATTCAGCGCCCTCTCCTGGCCTCTGCAGGTACTGCACACATAGGTGCATTTGCATGCAGGCAAAACACACATACACATAAAATAAAAAATTTTAAAAAGCACTATCAAGACAGCAGAGAAGATCCAATTTGAGGTGCCCGGAGCTTACACAATTTGGGTGTTCACTTATTTTAAAAGTATAGGGGCTGGAAAGATGGCTCAGTGTTTAAGAGAACTGGCTGCTCTTGCAGAGGACCTGGCTTTCATTGTAAGACCCATATGGCTACAAATGTTCCTAACTCCAGCTCCAGGTGATCTGACATCTCTTCTGGCCTCTGAGGGCACTGCACACATGGTGCACTTACATACATGCAAGAAAAAGACTCATACACATAAAATAAAACAATTTAAAAGAAAAGAAAGAGTATAAAGTTCCAAATATGATTGAGGTCCCATACAAGCTTCAACTGATTGAGCTGCACAGTGAAGCTGCCCCTACTGCAGGAATGGTGGGCTGGTTGCCAGTAAAGAGTCTTGTGCTTAGCACATACATCTGAGGCTTTTCCAGTAGGGCCACAGGCTTTCCACACCAGGGATCTGCACCATCAGCTGCTTGGAAGGTGAATCAGACTTTGATACAAGCCAGAGCTTCTCTGCTGCAGGCCTGGCTCATGTTCCAAGAAGGCAGCTGCAAATTGGTGGGCTGGGGGCCAGCTGTGGCCTGCAGGTGGCTCGTTCATTGTTGCTTAAAAATATAAATTATCCATGTCAAGCTTAAAAACCAAACAAAACTGCACAATTTCAAATATCTGCTTTTTTTTTTCTTCTCCTGAGAAACTAGAAGACTGATCTATACTGACCTTGACAAAAGATTAACTTTGGAGCTACCCACTCATCCTTCAGCCCAATCTTCTTATCCATCAGTACAGGATCCACCTGCCTCCTGTCACTTTTCAGGTTTCCCCACCTGACCTTGTAGGCCTTTGAATCAGGAGTCTATGCAGGCCAGGTGTCTTGTCTCCCTCACCAAGGTTCTTTCTGCCTTGACCCTGTCCTCCCAGTATTAGCCTCTGATTTCTTCTCTATTTTTCTTTTAAGATGGTAATTTCTAAGTATTATTAGTATTTATACTGAATTTTGTTAACTACATTGTTTTTATAGAAATTTGCCTTTTCTGTGAGCACTAGAACATTCTCAAATTGTCTTACATTGAGTTACATGTATAACTACCTAACTTTGTGTTTGGTTTCACATTTCCTTCCACCTCTTTTCTGAAAGTGATACATGGTCATTTTGATAAAGAAAATAGTATTAAAGATTGACAGCTTGGGACTTTTAGGTTTCCTATACTGATATAAGTGGGAGAAGTCCTGGCAGGAGTAGCTAAGAACAGGTCCGTTTGAAAACAAACCGATAACTAACTCCTATCAAGATCTCTTTTTCTCTCTCTCTCTGATTCTCTCTGTCTCTCTTTCTCTGTCTGTCTCTCTCTCTCACATAAGGATTGCATCACTAGCAAAACCTACAGTCAGGTGTTTGTTTTGGACCTATATACTACTGTTGTATAAGCTGGCTTCTGTATGAACTCCTGGGAATTTTACATAAAAAGTTAGATAATTAAAAAGAAAAATGTGATGTATTTATTGATACTGTACATTTTTTCATAAAAGGATTTAAAGAATCAATGTAACAAGAAGCAAAAACTCATGGCCAAGCCATATGTGATATAAAGGGGTAAGCAAATACTAACTGGATTATCTCTGGGAAAACTCAGTTTACTGGAGTCAAAAAAAAAAAAAATCAATAATCTTTCTCATGTATTGCCCCTGCACCCAGACTGAAGTTTCAAAAAAGTTCTATTTGGGAAAACAAATTACACTTTAGAAATCTTGGAAAACTGCAACTTAAAAAAATTAAATTAACCCATCATCATTGATTTCAAATTAACACACAGCTTATACAGTTGGAAAGAGAAAAGATTTTTGGATATATATTTTATTTGACAGTGTTTTAGAATATCATACAGTAAACAAGATTTCTGTAAAAGTTAATTTATCCATAGTGGTGCGTTTCATAAAAATAGTTGCTCACTTACAGTCTTTCTGTGACTATTAATACATGGAATTATATTTATAGAGATACAGCTGTACAGGGTAAATTCACAGCTAACACTACACAGAAATATTATTTGGAATGGGATTTAGGTGATGTGCTGTCCTCACAGGTTATGGATTACAGCCGCATAAAGCAATTACTGCACAAGTAGTAGCTGTGAACTGTGCAAATTAGAGTTTATGCAAGCGTAATCTCAGTTTTTTTCCTTTTGTAACACATGGAAAATAAAGGTCAGAGGATATAGTACCAGGACGTGCAGCTACACTACAGAAGCATTGTCCAAAACCAGATTCAATAAATTAATGGCAAACTATACTGGATTTCTAGTCCAGGGGAGAAAGACTAATTGAGATTAAACCAAAAGTATTATAAATCACTACATGTGTTTGTGCTTTTGTTTATGATGAATGGGTTTCATTTTGGAAACTGCTTTTACAATCTGCTAGACCCTTCACACGAGGCTTTCAACCATATTCACTTGTCAAACAACTATTCCCATGTCTGATGGAAATTAAACCAGTAGTGCTCAGGTTACAAAGTGGGGAGAAAGACTCTTCTGGGAAGGCTATTATATGTAACTGGATGTGATTGGTCCTGGTCTTCCACTTAATGGCTACAAGAGCAGAGGGGTAAGTCTTATTTGCATTCAAACTTGTGTAAGGGGCAGAATATGGGAAAGATGAAGCCTCATTTATATAGAGCATATTAATGGCAAGTTGACTTCAGGCATTTTGCCTTTTAATATGTGCAGCTACAGTAAGTACCAATGGATAATTAATTGAAGCTAACATTTTACAAAGAAATAGTAAAACAGCAGGGAAGGGAAGCTTTAGAATTTCACTGTGGGATCAATCATAGATCTATGGTGATAGTCGGGGGACATAAAGCAGCGTCTAGAGATTGCTAATGAAAAACATCGGCAAACACGGGACGAAAGCAAACCAAATGAAACAAGAGACCGAAGGAAAGATCAACAGAATGCCAAAAGGACTCATGTTCTTTAATGAAAATAAATTAGTTATAATAGTGACTTTTTAATATTAGAGATTCATTCTAATCTGAGAAATATAGGACAAATACTTTGTCAAAGTGCAAATGAAATAATGGAGAGAGTTTAAAATAAGACAATAAAACAGGTAAAATCTAACTGCTAAGAGCAGCTATCTCTCTCTGCGGGCCTGGGACGACAGGAAAGCCTTTCCAGGAAGGAGCTGCAGCATCGCCAATCTCGATTAAACAGATTATGGTCTTTTGATTATAAAATTTATATTTTAGAGGAAAATCAATTAAGATCTACGAACTAACCTGCAAATGTCTGACTTACGGCAAACTGTTCCCTAAGATACAAATTTTAAAACCTTTTTTTTTTCCTACCACTGAAAGTGTACAGAAATATGACTTGACCACAGGAATGGCAGTAAAAACGGCATCACACCAATGAATTCACTAGATTTCTAACTCATCCTGCGGAACGGTGCTGCTAAAACCGTCGGTGGATGCTGAGGGTGAGCCATGGAAACGTCATGGGCAAACAGTTCTGAATGTTTCAAAGAAATCCTTTAACCCCTGTCTAGATACGTCAAGAACGACTTATTTACAACGCTTTTGATCAATTAAAAGATATAATCTTGTCTCAGTTTCCGCTTGCTCCGTGCAGTTTGATTTTTTTTTTTAAGGCGATATTCCAGTTTGTGATTGCTCTAAACGTGTCCAGTTTCTTGATATAAAGTTTGGATCGCATCCAAATCCTTCATGCAGTGGGGGGAACTTTTTTCTTTCTTTTTTATTAAAACTAAAGCTACACTGCACTGTCTCTGTGATGTTCTTCACGTTATTTTGGTTCTTCCATAGCTGCCAAAGCTCCCACCACAGAACCGGGGGCTTTAGGATCAGTTTCGGTCTGCGCGTGCACGCCGTGCCGCCCACGCGCATCGGACACCAGGAACTTGGCGCCGATGCTCCCAGGCCTGGGCGCCTTGTGTGGATCTATGCGTGTGACGGTGAAAATAAATTAAAACGCCGAAAGACGGAAACCCAGAAAAATGGCCTGCGTGGAGGCGGGGCCTCCCGGCTCATCTGCCCGCGGCCGAGGCTCCGGGCTTCAGGACGCCGGGCAGCTTGTCGGCGCCCGGCACCTTCCACGGCCCGGGCGCCACAGCGGCCTTGCGCACCGGGCCGCTCCCAGACGGTCGTAGCCCCGACCGGGCCCCCGCGCGCGCGCCCGCCCTGGCCTCGGCCTCC